TAATGCATAAGCAAGATCTGGCCTAGTGTGAGATAAGTACATCAATCTTCCCACAAGTCTTTGGTATCTCCCTTTTTCAACTGGTATTTGATCAATTGCAACTCCTAATTTCAAACCTTCTTCAATTGGTGTATCAGCTGGTTGACATGTTGACATACCAGTCTCCTGCAGTCAGTGGCGGATCCAGGATTTTTATCGAGGGGACCTCCGCAGCTCCATCATTGTTTGCTAAACAACTAGTAAAAACTTAAAAAAAATCACCAAATCTTAAGCAAATAAAATAATACAATATAAAAAGTCTGAGAGAAAAGAATGCAATAGCGCAATACTTTCTTACTTGAACAAATCTATGAGAAGCAAAATTTTGAGTAAATGTGTTAAGTAACCTTGAGCAAAACCTACTCTTTTTTTTGGCTTCCAAAGATTATAATATTAATTTAATGACTTTGACCAGACCTAACTTAAGCTAAAGTCAACCAAAACTTAAATCAAGTCAACGTTGCATTGACTTTTAATATGAATTAATAAATAAAAAAAGAATTTTCTTGATATAAACATAGATAGTAACTCAAATTTCTTTAATTATTTTGAGTAGCAGAACGGTAACGTTTGAAATGTAGGAAAATGGAGGGTGAAAGGTGAAGAATAATGTCCTTTAAAATATAGTTAAGGTTTTAATTTAGGAAAACAAGTTCATTCTTAGACACAAAACACAAAGTAAACTCACAAGATTTATATATTTTTCCCTCAAATTAGAAAAACCTCCACACAAAAAAAAATAAAAAATAAAAAATGATTCAACCCTAAAATAAACTAAATTGAAATGAGCAATACACATACTTAAAACTAATAAAATAGAAAACAAAGTTAATTGTGACATCTTGAGTAGTAAAAGCTTCAACAATTTTAATATTCAAAAGTTTTAAGATCGAATAGCATGAGGAAGAGAAAAAGAGAATGACAGAGTAAAAAATTTTGATGATAAAATCATAAAAAATAGGTGAAGCCGTGGAGAAGAATAGTGGAGAGAGTATTAAACTTTTAATATAATGTGGGCTTGAAATATATATATTAATAGCAAGTTTTATGTAGGTCTATATATATGTATCATAATTCTCATTTTTTAAAAATCCAAGGGTGAGCCTGGGTATATATGTTAATAGCAATTTTTGTGGGTCTATATATTAATTTTTTTTTTTTTTTTTAATAACTTGAGGCCTACCCTCATAGCCTTGATGAACCTCCCAAACCATGCCTTTAGAGATTGTCTTAACCCATACAGTGACTTCTTTAACTTACATACCTTTTGGCTATGCTTCCCTGGTAGAATACACCCTGGTGGAGGATCCATATAGATCTCTTCAGACAATTCTCCATGTAGGAAAGCATTCTTCACATCGAACTATTGTAACGATCAATCTAGGTTTGCAGCCAAAGATAACAAGACACGTACTATGTTGATTTTGGCTATGGGTGCAAATGTCTCTGTATAGTTTATCCCATGAGTTTGGGTGTACCCTTTTGCGACTAGTTTTGCTTTAAATCGTTCGATCGTACCATTAGCTTTGTACTTCACTGTGTAAACCCATCGACATCCGACAGTTTTCTTTCCTGGTGGATGATCAACAAGTTCCCAAGTCTTATTCTTCTGTAATGATTTCATTTCTTCATTCATAGAAGCTTTCCATTTTGGATCAGATAAGACTTCCTGCACATTGTTAGGAATAGATACAATAGATAATTGATTCACAAATGATAAATTTGATTCTAACATACTATGGTTAGACACATAATGACTCATGGGGTATTTGACCTTACTAGATAGCTCAGGTTCGTATGTTGGTTTATGAATCCCTCTTACACTTCGTGGTGGTAACTGTTTCCTAATTGGTTTAGACTCTAAATTTGGAATATTTTCAAATAATGGTTGTGACATACCAGGAATGAGAGACTCGGACTGAAATAATGTTTCTTCAGACGGAGATGTTGGGATTCATGCATTTTGGATATGGAAAAAGTGTAGAAATGATGGACAAGATAATGGATGCATGGTAAAACACAAACATAATACATAAGCCCAAAAAATTTCAAGGAAATGATGGAATATTACCTACTCCTTTGCTATTCAACACTTGAATCTTCTTTCTTGGAGTCTTAGTTCTTCAAGTGAAAATGTGATCTACACAAGCCAAAGATGAGAGAGAGCCAAGAGAGTGAGAGAGTGCTTTTGTTTCAATTTCTTTCAATTATTTGAAAATGGTATAACACTTGGTTTATATACGATGGTACAAAGTGTAATTTTAAATTGTCTTGGGAAGTCCTCAAACAATTTAAAATTAATCTTGGTATTTATGTTAAGTCCTTGGTTTTATGGTTAATTCATAATTAGCTCAAATTTTAATCTCATTAAATATTCTAACTTTTTAGAACAAAACCAATGCACTTTTGTTCCCATTATTGAATCCGATTCAATAATAATATTTAATAATTCCTTATTACCCTTGGTTAGTGCTAGCTATCCATGGATAATCATTTCTCATCAATATATTAATTCGGATGCAACTGTTTACGTCCGAACATCATTAATCTGATTAATGATATGTATTTCTCTCTCTCCTTAAGCTTGGTTTTATGTGTGACCATTTTGGTTCACTATGATCTAACTATGGGTCCAATATCAGATTTTGATATGTTTCGTTATAACTCTTTATAATCAAAACTTCCACTGATTATGGTAGACATCTAACAATGTTCCATAACCCTTAAACCACAATGAAGTGTAAACTCCAATGAACCTTTTATGATCGTACATATTGTGTAGTAAAATCCCTCCGTCATCTAATCTTGATTAAGAATGGTTCATGGTATGTCAAAACCCTTAACTTAATCTTTAATCGAATTGTCAATCAATACAATGGAACTCATCAACATGAAACTACTTTTCATCTGACATTCATTATACTCTGGCCAAATATTTCTCTTTTCCAATTTTTATTGACATTCGTCTGGAAACTCGAGATTGAACCATTTTGAGTTAACGGATCCCATATTGGCATCACTTGTCCTCGCACATGAATAACATATGACCAAACCGGCTTATTACACAAGACATGACTAGTCTCGGGCTTATACACCATATGAACTATATGCATCCTATCAGGTCTAAGGATCAGTAGTACACTAGCACAATCCTACGATGCATTATTGACCACATCCATGTGATTCATCGTAATCGGTCGTATTCGATCAACAGTTCACTAACCGTTTATTCATGCTAATGCCTTAGTGACATACCTCTTATAATTACCCACACTAATACTATCACATGATATTCAATGGAGACATTAATCATGCATACTATGTAATATTATTGCCCAATTAACATTACTTGCGTAGGGAATTCTTTAATGATTTGATCTTCTGAAGATTCTGATCATCCGGACATTTCACATTCAATATTAAATATAATATAAACGAAGTAGTAAATCAACATGTGAAATAAGAACACTTTCTTTTATTCATAATACATTTACAAGATATAATGTCTTGAAACCGACAACACGATTGGTTCTTAGGACATACACTAACAGGAGATACCACATCAACACTTTCATTATCCACTTCATTGACATTTTCATTAACCACTTCATCTTCTTGTCGATCAACAGGTCTAGTTTGTGCCTTACAGTCTCCCATATCTTGAACAACATAGTTAAGAGTTTGAATTTCTTCCTGACAATACTCCCCCTGAAGTTCAGACTCAGAAGAAAAATACAACAACTCTTCATGGAACACAACATCCATGGTTACAAACATTTTTTAAGTTGGAGGATGATAACAATGATACCCCTTTTGATGAACACCATACCTAACGAAAACACATTTTGATGCTCTAGGAGACAACTTGTTGTATTAATGTTTATGGAGATGTACAAATGCAACACAACCAAAAACATGAAGGGGTAAGTTCTTGAATGTTTGAGCATTCACTACTTTACTAAGAGCCTGGAATGGTGTTTGGAACTCAATTAAGCTAGAAGGGATTCAATTGATTAGGTAGGCTGCAGAAGTGAGTGCTTCTCCCCAAAAAAATAATAGCATGTGAGCTTCTATTAAGGAAGCATGAACAACCTCTAATAAGTGCCGATTTTTACGTTCAGCAACACCATTCTATTGGGGTGTGTTGGGACAAGTAGTATGATGAATAATACCATGTACTCTTAAATATTGCTGAAGGTCCGAACTTTGATATTCTCCTCCATTGTCACTTCGAAGAACCTGAACTGGTGCATTTTATTGCGTACAAACCATTTGGTGAAATCTTTGAAATACCACATTGACCTCTCCTTTAGATTTCATTAAACAAACCCAAAAGGCTCTGATACCATTTATCACAGGCTGAGAGTTTCACAACCAAAAAGCTAACCTATTAGGTGGAGGGACTTCCCCCATTTATAAGCCTAGGACCTCTCTAATACGCTTTAGATGTGAGATTCGTTACATTCTCCCGCATCCAATCTTGTGACGCCCTTGTCACAGGTGGGGCCCTCTACCTACCCGTCTATCTCACTCTCGTGTGGACCTACAATCACACATGGACGCCCACGCGTAGGCATTTGGCGGGACATCGAAAGACAGACCGGGTCTGCTCTGATACCATGTTTGATGGGAAGAATTGGATAATTCAATTCATTGATTTACACTCATAGTTACAGGTATTTATAGGTAGAATACAATTTACGTAATCTTCTAATTATGTCAATTACAATATACTAACATAATTAGGAGATTATAAAATATCAAATAATTATGAGTATCCTAAAAGGTTAAAAACTAACAAAATTAGAAGATTACAATATATTAAGGAAATATCAGGTAAATCTCAACAAGCAGTACAATAAGATATATGAGTGATTTCACGTCCACCGAAAGCAATAGTGCCTTTGGATAGGATATATTCACTAGGAATACATAAAGTTAGAAACAACGAATCAATCACAAGACTTTTTTGTAACCCAGTTTCCTTTTCATACCATTCTATTCCCTGTCCTTTTAACATCCCAATCACTTCTCTTCCTAACAAAGATAGCTCCAACACCTGAAAATGGGTTGTTTCAGACCTCGTTCCAAGACTACTTCTCGCATGAATACTTCATCTTCTTTCCCTTCTCAACAACAAAACTCAGCACCCAGAAACCTCAAGCAAGAGGTTTTGCTGAGGATTCCAGGATGCACAGTTCATCTCATGGATGAAGGAGAAGCTATAGAACTTGGCAAGGGTGAGTTCACTCTTGTCAAAATCTTGGATGACAATGTTTCTCTCGCTACCATCATAAAAGTTGGTGATGATCTTCAGTGGCCTTTGACAAAAGATGAGCCGGTTGTGAAGCTTGACTTTCTTCACTATTTGTTCTCGTTGCCAATGAAAGATGATGATCCACTGAGCTATGGTGTAACATTTATGGAGCAGTACGGCAGCAGTTTGGGGTTGCTGGATTCATTTTTAAGTGAGCACTCTTGCTTTTCTAGCACAGCATCTACCCGGAAAAATGATGTTGATTGGAAAGAGTTTGCTCCCAGAATTGATGACTACAATAATGTCTTGGCCAAGGCAATTGCGGGAGGGACTGGTCAGATTATTAAAGGGATTTTCAAATGTAGCAACGCTTACACTAACCAGGTTTGTTTTCAAAGCAATTTTATGAAATAATCATTGACGTTTCAGCTTATTATACTTTTTCTTGAATAAATCTGCGGCTAACCAAAATTTAAACTATATCCACGTGATGATATTGTCTTATTACAGGTAACTTGAGGGCTTATATATATATGTGTGTGTGTGTGTGTGATAAATTTCTCTATTTATAAATGTTCTTTCGTTGGATAAAATCAGATATCTAATCATCATGAAGCAGAAAATCTTTGCTTAATAATATGCTAAAAGGAAAAGAAGTCCTAATAAATATGCTTTATAGATTGGTTTAGTTATTTAGTCTGAAGACTTGAGATAAAAGCAGGTTCATAAAGGAGGAGAAATGATACTAGCTCGTGCTACAGAGGAGAAAAAGGGGGTCAAAGCCAGAGAAAGTAGTAGCAACAGAAACAATGGGGCCAAAAACAAGAGCGGAGTCAACAAAAGCTTAAAACGGTATCCTAAGATAAGAACATTGTCATTATAAAATCATGTAACTAGCACCAATTTTCCCATAAAGTCAAACAAAATAATTGATGTATGTTTTCTGCGTAGTGTGAGAAAGCTGTCAAAGATGACAGAAAAGTTAAGCAAATCTATGCTTGACGTTGTTGGTGTGGCCACTGGATCAGTGATGACACCGTTGGTAAAATCGCAGGCAGGCAAGGCAATTTTAGCCTCGGTTCCAGGAGAGGTCATCTTGGCTTCACTTGATGCTGTCAGTAAGTAAAGCCTGAATTATGTATGCTGGGTGCTTAGTGACATTAATCATTTGAGATCATAAGTGTGGTAACTAAATATGAGTTCTCTCAATACATACAGACAAGGTTCTGGATGCAGCTGAAGTTGCTGAAAAACAAGCTGTATCTGCAACCACCCATGCTACAACCAGAGCAGTCAGTGAGAGGTATAATTAGCCAAGTTCCATATTCGATTACTTTGGCATATTCAAAAGCTGGCTATTGCCATTGCCAATTACGTTAATTAATTACATGTTTGTTCTCTCTACAGGTACGGTGAAAGTGCAGGGGAGGCAACTGGAGATGTGCTGGCAACTGCAGGGCACTGTGCTTGCGCTGCTTGGAATATTTTCAAGATAAGAAAAGCCATCAATCCAGCATCATCTGTTACCACTGGAGTACTCAAGAGTACAGACCAAATCAGGAGAAATGGAAATGGAAATGGAAGATATTGAGGGGATTTATTTATTTAAAGTTAAAACGAATGTTTCCATGTTGTCAAGTTGTATGCATTCCAGAAAACAGCCACATTGAACGTAAGATACTTCTGCGTTGCAAATTAAAGGATTTGCTGTCCTAATTAGATGATCCTCTGCTCTGGTGTTTGACGATGTGTATATTATCCAATTGTCCGACAATGGGAGTTATTAATGGTGTGATTAAGATTTGAAAATCAGTAATAACCTTCTAATGAATCAAACAAAACATAAATTAGAAAAATACTCTTTCAAAAGCTTTTAACAATAACAGATAAAGCTATAACCATCGCTGGGTGGTCAAGCAATCAACTAGAATTTTTGCGTATATTATTCAAGATTTCATAAGTTTGATCCATCTGGGTTGCTAATAGGGGTGATCACTGAAGGGATTTACCTGGCTGTTAACTTCAGGACCCTAAGAGATTAATTGAGATGCGTGTAAACTAGTTTAAACACCCTCAATCAACCAAAAAAAATAAATAATAGATAAGGCGGTGATGAATGGAATATAAATGTCAAGATGTGAACACACGTCAACGATTGACCACAGGAGGAACCGAGTAGGATGGGAAATCAACAAAGACGAGTGCGAATCATTGGAACGAGAGATTGGAGTCAAAGGTGATATTAACAAATAATAATAATTGGAGAGTCATTGGAACGAGACGAGTGTGAATCATTGGAACGAGAGATCGGAGTCGAAGGTGATATTAACAAATAATAATAATTGGAGAGTCGAGTTTTTTAAAGTGATTAGGTCGAGTAAGGAATCAAGCCTAATTCACTGATTCTTTTCTCGAGAGACGAGTGATTATAAAGATTTTGGCTAGAACGAATAAAAAACATTTCTAAAATAAGTTTACAATATAATCTTATCCGTATAATTGAAATATTAATGTATGAATACGGAATGATTTAATTAATGATTTTTTTTAAGATTAGGCTCCTTTGGTTCATTATTTTTATCTTTTCTTATTTTAATATTCTATCCTAAAAATCTAAAAATATATTTATTCCAATATTTTCAAAATCCAATACTATATTATTCAACTCAAAACATAAATAATTACATTTCCTAGAAAAATAACTCAATTCAACCCAATTTTATTATTTTTTACTATTCTAAAAACAATCAAATAGTGAACTAAACGAACTTTGCCCACAATAAAATACAAATGGACGCCGGGGCTTCCTTGCCTTGCCTGCTAAAAACTAGCGAAAATCACAAGCTGCAGAATGGAGAACGAAGCAAAGCTAAGCATATACAGAGCTGCAAGGAGCATAAAGCGAAGACGAAATTCACTGTACAATGCTTTAAGATCAATATACGAGGACTCAGTTTTTGTTGGCGAAATCTCCCATTTATGGCCCCAAATTCCCCTTCTCGTCAACCTTCGTTGCGGTCTCTGGTACTCTCCCAATTTCCACTCCACTTGCTACTTTAAATCCACCGACGGTCACACCAACAATTGGTCCTTCAACACCTCCCGCCTCAACCTCCACGTCGCCCTTCTCGCTGGTATTTCAACTGCTCAATCTTATTTATTACGAACTTAAAAATGAAAAAAGAAGAAGAGAGAAACACTTTAATGATTCAATTTTGTTTTTGAATGGTTAGGACAGAAGGAAGGGTGTATGATAGTTGATTCCACAAGGAAAGGAAAGCGGTTTCCGGATAGTATGTCCAAAACGATACCAATTTGGACCTGTGTTTTGAACCGTTCTGTTTATAATTATCGTTACAGAATGTGTAGTAATGGTTTACTTATGGAGGGGGTGAGTTCTGGTATTGTTCATTCATTGTCGTTTTTGTTCTTATTGATTCTCGTCTTAATTTACAGTAATTGGAACAAGTAATGATTCTATTAACTTCTGTAAATGGAGAGAGGCGTTTACAGGCTTAATGCTAATTTAACATAATGTTTCAAGTCATTCATTTGTTTAATATCTCATTTTGTGCATATATTGTCCCAAATTCTGATGAATTTGTATCTAAAAATTTTAATATGTTGCATTGCAATTTAGCAGGAGTCAAATGCTTCTGAAGCAAACGGGGATAACACAAGGCAGGTTCCGGTAGATTGGGATTGTTCCTTGCATCTTCCTCTCTGGGTTTCAGACATGGAGAAGGCTGCTGTAAATGATCGCTTAGATGAATGGGTGAAAGAGTTGGATGCAAGTGGGGCTGATATTGCCTCTCTCGCATCATGCTTAAAAAAACCATTACGACCTCTGTGGATATCGCAAAAATCTGTCATTTGGTTAAATGAAGTGCCTGACCATGATTCTTGGGACTTCACACCAATCATCCTCGTTTCTGCCTCTTCCCCGAGTGGAGTAATTCAGCAAAGGTCTACCTCAGAGTATAGCTGGAATTACATACCAGGAGCTGGAGATGATGAGGAAAGCTGGGCGAGGGGTTTATCGCCTAATCTTTTCTGGAATCATGTCTATGATCTTATTAACTCAGGTCCTGATGTCTGTAACCAGAAGGTAGCTGATATAGTTGAAAAGGATAGAGTATATCGTGCTCAAAGGGGACAGATTGCTCCCCAGGTCACTGCAAAGCACCCAAAGTTGTTGGGGAACTCAACTGATCTTTCTGATGTAAATGCTTCTATATGTTCAGATCTTTCAAACTTTAAAATTGATTTGAAGTCTTCAGATGAAGGATATGCAATATCTTGGCTGGGGTCAACAAATCTTGCAGTGGGAACATCACAAAATGGTAACTGTTATGAAATGTTGAGTGCTCTTTCCTTGTTCAGTTTGCTTTAGTAAGAGTCTTTGGTTAGAAATTAGCTTATTCTTTAAGGAAATCTTGATGAAAATGAAATAAAGTTCTCTGTCCTTAAAATTGAACGTTTAGTACAAGGTACAAATGCTATATGTACCCTTGTTGAAACTTCTTAATAGTTTGTTTCAAATCCCTGCTCCCTTCTATGATATCACTGAACGATTGAGTGCAAATTCTCTTTTATGTATTATTAAAAGCTTGATCATTATTTTATAAAGAGGCCATCTATGTGTCAGACAAAATGCATGAGTTCCAGATTGCTTAGACACATGTATTGTTATTTTGATGAAGATGTTGAATTTTGTTGATTTGGTGGAGGCTCCAGTGGTGCCACAGGTTGAGGTAAAGGTTGGTTGATAATGTTGCAATAGGTCATGAACGACTTCTATAATCCCCTGATTATAGGCAATATATTTGTTGTGTGCTCATCTATCATTGCTGCTGCACTTGTTATTAGTTTTGTTCTCGTTTATCTTGTGTGTGAATGTTTGTCAGTAACATTGGTTGAATCATAAACCATGCAGTCTCCACTTCCACTTGGCTCATTGTTGAGTTCACTATGTTTGATGCAGTTGCAAAGGTGTGTACTGTCGATTGCATTCTGAATTGTGATCAAGAGTCTATCACTGTCTGCCTTCCAGATGCTGATGCATATATGCATCTTCCCGTGGTGGTGTGTATAAAAAATGAATTGAATGGTTAACTTTGTCCTTGGAATTTTGCTACCTAATCACCTGTTTGTCTTTTGTCGCCCAGAACTCAAAATTGGATCGGTTTTCATTATTAAGGAATCTTCCATCTGCGGTTAACTTTGCAAAGTTGAACATTGGCAAAGGGAACAGACTTCTAATTTGCTGTCATAGTGGTAAGGACTTTTACTTGCCTCCTTGTGTGCGGATTTGCATTTTTGAACATGCTATACACTGTTGTGTCTGCTTCTTCTTATGTATAGCACTAATTTGAACTTTTAGGGCATCATCCATTGTTATTTTTTTCACTTATTTGGTTCGAACTCCATATTATCTTGTTCTGTAATTACTTAGTTTTGAATATTGTGCATACTCATACATTTACTTTTTTTCGTTTCAATGACTGGCTGAAACAATGGTTGCACTTGCACCTGTACATTCTAAGATATGTAGAAACTAAAATGTAATTTTTCATTTATTTTATTTTATGCAAGCATTCAGTGTCAACTAATGTATATCTGTATAATTCTATTTTCAGGAGAAGACATTAGTGTCTGCATTTGTCTGGCAATACTTATATCATTATTCAATGGAGAAGGTAACTAGTTACCTGTATTGCATAAAGAGTTAAAGATATTTACATTTGCAACTTCTTTTATTTGGATGCAATCAGATCATATAGTGTAAGATGCATATATTTTTATCCCTTCCCCAGTATTCACTATTCCGTATCAGTGGATATTTATTTTTGTTTGCTTGAATGTTTGTTCCACTTGTTGTGTAAGGTAGCTGTGCACCATTTTGCAATCAGTCTGTAGGTTGTTAGGACCCTCTTTCAAGACTGCCTGAAGCATGATCTTTGCCATACAGAGAACTCACATTAGTTGTTTGGAACTAATGCAGCTTCTGTTTTCATTATGCTGTTAGGATTAAAATTCTAGTAATTCGTAGCTCAAGATTCATTAAACAATTTGCTTTCTGTGTCTGGAGTGATTTCTGTTCTTGCTAATAATCTTTTTTATTAGGACTTTTTGACAATGGGAAATCATTCTCGGAGACGCCCATCACTAAATTGGAGATGCGGCGCCGACTTATATTTATCTGTAAATTTGCAACAAATGCCCGACCATCCAGAGGAAATCTGAAGCAAGTTTTTAATTTTCTAAGCGGTGGAAGAATGGATTCAATTTGATGATACCATCTTGTCATACTTTGGCATCGTGGTGATGCAGAACTGGGAAAACAATTTTTAATACTTGGCTTACAGGAGAAGTTTGTCTCCTAGATAGGGAAATTGGACCATCTCCATTGGATGTTTTGCATCTTTGTTCAGAATCAGGTGGCCGCTCTTGGAAACTGGATGAAGTTTCTTGGAGGTGAAAGATGGTAGCCTTACTTTAGGGCCTCTTTGCCCCTTGTGGGCTTGGCCCATCCACTCAACCCAAGAAAGGGAGAACGATATGTTCCGGTTTGATGAAACAACACTTTCTCACCCGTAAAGTTTCAAAATGACACTTTTCCACCCTTCGTTAGGTTTTGTTAGTGTTTTCTATTAATATGTGACTAAAAAGATGAAAATACCTTAAATAGTTCATTTCTTAATTAGTTTATTATAAATTAAAATTTAGTTAAATCAAAAGTCTTTATTCGGTTATTTATTAGTCTAATTGTAAAGATACATTTTTTTTCTTTGTTTATTTAATTAATTAAGAATATTGATTTTTTATGTTAATTAGTAAAAATTAAAAACATTATAAATAATAGTGATAGGATATTGATGACAATATAAATAAATATTAAGATTATTTAACTTTAAACAATTTTATAGCATTATTCCTAATTTCTTAGGTGGGGTTAATTATTTTTTCTTTTTTGACTTTTTGGTTAATTAAAAAATAATAAAAATTTTATAGAGTAAAATATTTAAGGGTATAAAGTAAAATTTGATAAATAATATTAAGAAGTGTTTTTTTTTTTTTTTCTAATAAAAACAGTAGCTTTTTGAAAGAAAAAAAAACCATAAATCACTAGACAATAGTGAAGTATAGTGCCAAAAACTATCTCTAGTAGTTTGACAGTTCTTTTGGGATTCTTGGATATATTATTTAAGAAGTCATGAGTTTGAATTCCCACAACTATTAATAATGGATAACCACTAGAAGTTTATTTGACCGTTAACTTCAGGGCCTTAGAGTTAAGGGACTAGTTGATGTGTGTACAAGCTGGCCTGAACACCCTCTAATACCAAATATATATATATATANTGAAAACTGAAGCTCCACTCAACTTGTCCATGAGATCTTGAATAAGGGGAACAGAATACTTGTTCCAAATTGTAATCTTGTTCAAAGCCCTATAATCGACACACATATGAAGGGATCTATCATGTTTGTTTTGAAACAACACAAGAGCACCAAAAGGAGCCTTGGAAGGTCTTATGGTACCTGCCTCAAGCAACTCATTAAGCTATTTTAAGAGTTCTTTCAACTCCATAACAGACATCCTATATTGTGGGCAAGCAAGTGGGAACGCCTTTTGTTCCAACTCGATTCTATGATCAATGGCCCGTTTTGGAGGAAGTTCTTTAGGCAGCTCCCGTGGCATTACATCAACAAACTCATGTAACAATTATGCCACTATATCCAACACTTTAACCTTTTTATTAGGCTTCAATTCTATCAATGTCGCCAGATAATTTTCATGCCCTTTTTGCAACCCACGCTTTACTGTCGTGGCTGAAATAATGGTAAAGCTTCGACTAGCCTGGTTTACTATCATCTCCCAATGATCAACATGACACAAAACAAGGGCCAGAATCATGATTAATCATCATACCATTCAAGTAGGGCATCACCGACACCTTTGCTACTTTAAAGAATTCTACCTCCAAAATGATATCAAAGTCATCCAATGGAACAACAGTCAAATTAATCTTACCTACCCAACAATCCACACATACAAACACATTGTAGGCTATTCTCGTCACCCCACATGCACTAGAATTAATAGCCTTCACTGTTGTGGGACTTTGAAAGAGTGTTAGCCCCAATTTTGTAACAACTCTGCCTGCCATGAAATTATTAGTTGCTTCCATATCTAACAAAGGCTTTAACCTAACCATGCCTCACTTTAATATCAACAAACAGTTAAAGTATTACAAACAACACCCTTTCTCGTCCTTGTTTCCCGTCCTTGAACTAGTCTCTACCCTTATAGCATTCATCAGTTGCAACAGATTCTTTAAGATTTGCTGCCTACTAGACTCTCCCTCCTCGCCCATTAAAGCATCAAGCTTTTCTCTCTTTCGACAATCCCTTGCCCAATGTGGTCCTCCACAAATAAAATAGTCTGCATTGTTTTGTCCTTTTTGTTATCTTTAGAAAAATTGCTCCTACCACTTGCCTTTCCCTTATCGATGGTAGGATTTTTCTTCTGAAACTGGAAGTCTTTCTTCTTGTATGCTTCCTTTAAACTCTCGGTGATCTTTCTTCTTTGCTTTTACCGCAACAACAGGCGTTTTCTCCTTATTGGTCTTAAAGTCTACTAACCCATCAGCAATAGGAATTGCACGAGGCAAATCTTGCACCTTTTGCCTTCTCAACTCAACTTGCATCGAACCCAAGCTAGCTTTATTCATGAATACATGTTTTCCCTTGGATGATATCCATATGGCAACATCACGAACCATGTCATGCATTTTTACGACCTCTTCACCAGCATCAATTAGCAAACCCGAAGCCTTCAGATTATTAACCATAACGTGAAATTGTTTCCTTAACACTTTGATAGAGTTAACATCTTGGTATAAGTCCAACCCTATTCCAATTCTAACCAATTCGTCTAAACAGATTTTATAATCTTCAGGAAACAATGAACACAACAAGAAACAAAACTGGATTTGCTCACCCTTCAAATAATCATAGCTCAACTTAAGAGTGGCATAAATACCTCTTTCTCCAGCAACAATGTTGTCCTCCCCTGTAACACTAATCATATCTTCAAGTTTTGAATCTCTTAGTTTGTCATGCGAAACTTTCCATTCGTCAGAATCCTTTTCTCTTAGAGCACTCCCAATGGCTTTCTTCCCAGCTTACGACGTGTCTAATTTTCCAGATTATTTTACATTAAAAGAACTTTCCCTAGAAAAAAGAGTGCTTAAGTAGAATTTTCAGGGCATAAGTCTTTGGCCTCATATGTGGAAAAACTTCACTTAGTCTTCGTCAATGGTAGCATTATGTGGCGGTCTTGCACCACATTAATATGGCTTCAAAGACTTCAACTAAAGCAAGTCTAGCAGGCCAATTTTGACTGATAATTACACACAACGCCACCAATACAATGAACACATGAAGTCTTTGAAGCATTTCAAAAGGTCAGCATATGAAGACTTTTTGATGTCACGGCATTGCCCCAGAAGAGCATGAAAGCAGCATTCCAGAAGCCTTCATGCCACTAAACGTCTATGCCACGACATTTGGCTCTCGGGTAGAAAGGGCGAAATTGTCAGTTTTAAGAGGTGATTTGAGGGTCTGAGTGAAAAGATTCTATACTTATGGACTATATTAAATTGGACACTATGCGGATGTAATTATTTTTCTGAATTTGAGACCGCCCTTCTTGAGTACCGCCCCTTCAGACATCAAGTAGTATTCATATTTACATCTTTCCCCCACGTGCACGCATATGGAAAGATTTTGTCATACCCTACGATTATTATATTTGAAGATCTTCATGAATTAAAATAATAAGTATCTTAAAATTGTTTAGAAACTGGAGGTGTAAAACCAAACTCTTGAATTAGAAAATTGTTATTACTCTCTTAAACTTAAAGGCTAAAACACACCCAAAATCTAGCATCCAAAGCCTATATATATGAATTTTCATTATAATTAAATATTATATTACCACGTTAGTTGGCTTTATATAGATTGCATGATTAATCTTACACATAAATGATAAATAAATAAAAATGGGGTAACCCTATCATAACTTTAGTTTTTACTAAAAAGTTTGTTAAATGTTAAGAAAATCTTACTTCAATAATTAGCAACAGGTGCTTTTGATCGGAAAATCTTACTAAAAAGTTTTTTTTTTTTTTTTTTTTGGATTCTCTCTTTTTTTAATTATTTTTTGAAATTCCCCTTAAAAATCCTAGCCGTTGTATTTTGCCATGAACATGAAAAGAGTTATATTGTGGAAAACGAGATAATTAGCAACAGGTGCTTTTGATCGGAAAATAATTCCTAAAAACTAAAATATGATGTAAAATTTGGAATTATATTTTTGTATTTTTAATATTTAAAAATGTGATTGATATACAGTAACTAATCATAATCAAATAATATTTAAAAATCATAACTAATCATAATCAAATAAAGACCCAATGCTACTCTTAACTTGAATCTTTAGATCTTGAGAAATTTTTAGTGCTATTTCCCAAACTTTTGGCTAAAATATTTAAAAAACGATGGGATCAAAATTTTGTGTTTATATAATATGATTGAAGAATTTAATATTATTATTTTGTTTGTTATTCATTATTATTATATCTAACGAAAAAAAAAAAAATTATTTACTTTTTGTGAAGGAGACGGCCGCAATCACTGCTTGGAACTTCACTAGACCGACCACCGTCGCCCACAGAAATTTGAGACAAGCTTCAAATGAGTATAAAGAACTCAATAACGTAAGTCTTTTTCTCATCATTAATCTTTGGATTTCTTTTTTCTTTTTTTCATACGAAAGCAAATTGAAATATGTGGAGAAACACCAGATCTAATCTAGCAAAAAATCAGAAGAAAATTGACAGTAGTAAAAAATAAAAATGAAATCATACCTAAACGAGAGTTTGCAACTTCGAAATGCACCGAACTCTGTAACTTCAAATCTTTATGACCTAAGAGCAAGAAGATGAGTGAAAATGAATTGGGATGAGAAAGTGGAAATGACTTTCTTCCCAGCTTACGAGGAGTCTAATTAGGAAACTAGGAAGTTATTAAAACAACCACTCCTCTTGAATTAGAAAATGGTTCTTACTCTCTCTCTCGTCTAACTTGAACCCCATTTTTGGCGTGGATTTTCTTTTGTTTGCCTAATAGAGTTGCAAAACATTATCAATTAAATTACTGGTACCTTTAGAGCATAACTAGGAACATTATACAGACTTTCAAAATCTAACTATCATATCAAAAAAAACCCTATGCTACTCAACCTCAACATGCATCTTTAGATCTGAAAATATTTATTGCGCTATTTCCCAAATTATTGGCTAAACTATTTAAAAAAGGATGTGATCAAAATTTTGTTTATTATAACATGATTGAAGAATTTTATTATTAATTATTGTTTGTTATTCATTTATTATATCTAAAGCAAAAAAAAAAAAAAAAAAAAAAAAAAAAAAAAAATTACTTTTCTGTGAAAGTACGACTGCAATGCACTACTTGGAACCAGTAATCTATGTTTTTTCCTCATCTTTAATCTTTCATACTATCCTTTTTCTTTTTTCATACGAAAGCACATTTGAAATAATGAGAAGTGGAATTGCAACAAACCACCTGATCTAATCTGGCAAAAATCTAA